AACACCTGGAGCCTCGGGCAATACAGGGTGGGGGCTTTCTCCTCCGCTCCGCAACCCATGTCTCTCCAAGTTCTGCAGACACCCTGTTCTGCCCTCCACCACCGCCTCCTGCTGTCTGGGGTCCGCCGGGACCCCTCAGCATCAGCCCCGTCCCCGGGGCCTCCCCTCGCTGCCCCTCCCAGGCTTGGGGACAGAGCCCTGGCAGCCGCCAGCTGCGGCGCTCGGGCACACATACTCCTACACACCTTGGGCATTCAAGTGCCAGCCCTGTCCGACCCGAGTGCCTGTCCACCCTGGTTCCGGCCTGGCCTTGGGCGCAGGAGCAAGGATCGTCCTTCCTCATACCCCTGGGCCTCCTGGGGGGACGGGCAGGCGAAGGGCCTGGCTTTACCGTTTGTGGGCAGCGGAGTCTGGGTTTCCGACTCGTGTGCTCGGATTAACTGGCATTTGCCGTCTATGGCGCTCACCGCCCAGTGCCCACGTCATGTCATTTCAAAGCCCCTGCACTGCCCGGCACCTTCTCCCGCCGGGATGAGGACGGCAGGCCAAACTGGCCCAGCACCTGGCAGTTTTTAAAAAAAATTTATTAAGTATATTTCTTTACTGATTTCAGAGAGGAAGGGAGAGGGAGAGGGAGAGAGAAACATCAATGATGAGAATCATTGATTGGCTGCCTTCTGCACGCCCCCCACTGGGGATCGAGCCCGCAACCCAGGCATGTGCCCTTGAGCAGGAATCGAACCTGGGACCCTTCGGTCCGCAGGCCTACGCGCTATCCACTGAGCCACACCGGCCAGGGCAGCACTTGGCAGTTCTGCTTTGGGAAAACTATGGCCGGCGGGCTACGCTCCTTCCGGCCGGTGACAGCGGGAGCCGGGGAAGCTCCGGTAAGACGAGCAGGTCACCCAGCCTCTCCAGGCGAGGGAGCCGGCAGGGTCAGGGGCCCGCGCTCGTGCATCCAGAGAACAGGTGCCCAGGCGGACGGATGGGGCGGGAGAGAAGGCGGGGCGGGGGGGGGGTGCAGTGCGGCGAGGCCCCGCAGAGAGCCGGGTGCGAGGGGTCGGGTGCAGGCCGACCGGCGCGGCCTGCAGGGGGAGCCGGCTCCACCCCCCCAGCCCGCTGTCCCCGGCGATCGCGCCGACCCCGCGGGCGTGACCTCCTCTAAGGGCGGGGCTCCAAGGTCAGAGCCGGCGCTGGAGCCGGCGGGGCGGCCGCGGGTGGGGCCGGCGCTGGCGGGAAGTCCCGAGGCCCCGTCCCGGGCGGGGGG